AGGGTAAGATCCTTCACAGTCGTGATGGCATTTTTTTAAATCATATGTTTTACTGTTTAAGAAATATGAGATACAGTAAACAAACCTATTTTAAAGGAGTTGGTTATCATCTTCACAAAGTTTATACAACAACATGCAAACATAACTGGAGAGTTTTATTGAATAATTGTTTTTTGAGAGTGTGTGTGTGTGTGTGTGTATATATGTATAATTCTTTCGTAACAGTTGCCAGGGTGTCCGAATTGACTGCCTGGCACAGGATACAGAACTATATATACCAATGCAGATATGTCTCTATATAATGAGTTCATATAACTGTTGCAATTTCTTGTCAGTATGGGGATTGATGTAGAGATGAAACTTGTGACATAATTGATCTTTGATTCTAGACCATACAGAAGACTGGAACCGGAGCTATGTAGACCTCCACATTGAGAATGGTAGGTAGAAGGAGAGGCCTGACATGACATAATATAGGATATGGTAAGTGGTAACAGTGTATACATATATATATATATATATATATATATATATATATAGTAATAAAACGTCTTACCGGAAAAAGCTAATTAGTTACCCATCTGTCACAACAGATTGTATGCTGACACTGAAAACATGCAACTGACAGAAAACCGGGACCATAAGTGACACATGCGTACGGCGTGTTACACGCTAACCAGGATAAAATCATAGAGAATAAACTGGCAATACATGTTGGTAAATGGGGGAATTATCATAAATTAAACACATGTAATGTTTGTCAGGCAATTAAAAAGCCAAAACATATAAGTGTAGTGACCGCACTCCACCTTCCACCATGCACTTATTTGGACCTATCTCCTTTCTCACACATGTATTTAAATTATATATTGATATAACTTAATTTTGGGTTTGGGAGCAGTCTGTCCACATTCTATATAGGTCTTAAAAGATAAACTTCCCTGTATGCTAAGGTGGTGGAAATGGGAGATCTTAAAGAAATATGTGCTCTTTTAGGCAATATAATCCTTCAGAAACCTTTGTATGCATCCTGATTAAGACCTTGGGTTAATGTTTTGTATAAGCTTTTCAAATATTTTTGGATAAACTTTTAAAATATATATATTTTTCTTTAAGACTGATATATATATATTTTATATATATATATATATATATATATATATATATTTGTTATTTTAAAGGAACACTGTACCGTCAGAAATGCAAAAATGTATTCCTGACCCTATAATGTTCAAAACACTATTTAGGTGGTCAGTCCCCTTTTGCCCCCTTAAATAGGAAAAAAAAACCTTACCTTTATTATAGGGCCGTGCGTGTTTATCAGCGCTGGCTCTGCCCCTGCCCGCCTATAGGAAAGCATTGCATGGGCTGAGATTGTCAATGCTGATGATCTCAGCCAAGGATGCGGGGGTGGCACCAAAGGGCGGGAGAGGAGCCAAACACATGCAGCACTGACCCAGGAAGCACCTCTAGTGGCCGTCTGAGTGCCTGCCACTGGAGCTGTTACTAGGCAAAAGATAGTGTTTACATTAAAATGCCTGCAGGGACTTACTATACTCACGAGAATAACTATGTTAAGCTGTAGTTTTTCTGGTTACTAGTATGTCCTTTTTATTTAAAAAAAATAAAATAATTTGAAAGGTATGCCTAAAAATATTAAGCAATTTAAAAAGCTTATCCAAAAATGTTAATGCGCAGCCCATGTCAGAGCTTCATTTTAGAGGTTGGCAGGGATGTATTAGCCGCGAGGCAAACAAGGCATTTGCCGCCCCCAAAAAATGCCGCCCCCAAATGCCCAGGCAAATGCCTAGTTAGCCTTGCGGCTAACTGACATCCCGAGCGGGAGGGCGGCTGGCGAGGGAGCACCTCCTCTGAGCTGACTGCTCAGCTCCCTCGCGTGCCGCAGAATGAGGCTGGGAGCCGGGATATGACGTCATCTTCCGGCTCCCAGCCTCACTCTGCAGCCGGCGCGCGAGGGATCTGAGCAGTCAGCTCAGAGGAGGTGCTCCCTCGCCAGCCGCCCGCACAGCAGCCAGAGCCGCCCAGCCCGACCAGCAGCCACTGGACCACCAGGGAGAGAGAGACCTCCACCCCCCAGCACTCCCAAAGGTAAGGAGGTTGGGGGGGGATTTAAATTTTAAAAAAAAGTTAATGTGTGTGTGTGTCTGACTGTGTGTGTGTCTTTGTGTGTGTGAGTGTTTGTGTCTGACTGTGTGTGTGTGTGTTTGTGTCTGACTGTGTGTGTTTGTGTCTGACTGTGTGTGTGTCTGACTGTGTGTGTTTGTGTCTGACTGTGTGTGTGTGTCTGTGTCTGACTGTGTTTGTGAGTGTGTGTGTGTGTGTTTGTGTCTGACTGTGTGTGTTTGTGTCTGACTGTGACTGTGTGTGTGTGTGTGTTTGTGTCTGACTGACTGTGTGTGTGTGTGTGTGTGTGTGTGTTTGTGTCTGACTGTGTGTGTGTTTGTGTCTGACTGTGTGTGACTGTGACTGTGTGTTTTTGTCTGACTGTGTTTGTGTCTGTGTATGTGTCTGACTGTGTGTGTGTGTGTGTATGTGTCTGACAGTGTGTGTGTGTATTTAGAAGGTGGGGCGGGGGGAAGGGTTGGGTGGGGGTGGCGCAGGGGGAGGGGGGTGCCTGAGTTTTGTCCTGCCTAGGGCAGCACAAAACCAGGATACACCACTGGAGGTTGGTGCATGTCTTAATAATTCTGGAGTGATTCTATCTCAACATTGATGGTGTTGGTGTCCCTGCTTTTCATATCAGATTACCTGGTGGAGAGAAACTGGAAGTCATAAACTTGTGGACATCAAAATGATCAAACTTAGAAGAATGTTGGAATATTCTAGAAATAACACCAAGACAGCATTAACAATCAAAAAAAAAAAAAATTGAAAAACAATCAACCATTCCTTAACTTCTTATGCCAAGTAATATGATAATTACTTCTCTATCTTCCATCCTCTTGGAAAAGATTCTAGAAATATGTGTAAAATGTAATTTCTCCTCTGAAATTTATGTGCAATTAAGAATTCCTCACCAATGCTCCTCGAGGCTTTATTGACCTAAGCCTGTCCATTTTAGCTTTGAACACACAATGAGAGAGACTTATTTTTGGTTCTGCCTCTTTGTCAAACTAGAACTCCATTATGGTGGTGGTTGAGATTTTTTCCAAAAAAGGCACGCTTTATTGTGTGATTCATACTTTATACATTTCCTGCCCTGTGTTATGTGTAGGAAGATGGTGTACAGACTGTATGGCCTACTTCAACATATAATGTTTGACAAGGGATATTTTTTTTACATGTCCAACAGCCAGAAGGACTTTCAGTCACTCAGAGTTCACAGCCAAGGAACTGGGGAGCAAGACGGAATATTTAGGCTGAAATGCAGTTGCTGGAGTTGTACATTAATCCATAGCCCTTCCCTTAACTTAAAGATATATATTTTTTAAAATATCAGCCTGATCGATAGCTTACATGTGTGTTTGTGGTGCATGTATGTTGAGCTGACAGGTCTACATTAACAGCTTCACCCCATGCCTTGCAATACGTCTCGCTTCAATACCTTTGAAGGTTAGAAACTATACTACTGGACTGCAAAGGCTCAATGTAGGTTAAAAATGACAGTTCTACTGGTGGATGTTTTCACTTCAAGTTCCGGAATCTTTCTTTCAGTTATAGTGAAGATCCAGGACATACTTGAAAACAAGAGAAATCTCAATGTATCTTTCCTGGTAAAATATTTTATAAATATAGCAACAAGGGACATTATGAGTTCTTGGCTCTTGACATCTAGCAAAGGATGATGACCCACTTGATGGAATACTCGAGTCAGACCTCTGAAGCCCAGATAACACTCTCATAGCAGTAATTTGTATTAATACACCGCCAACTGGTAGTTGGCTTTGCCGCAGCAACTGTTGTCCAGTGTTACCATTAAACAGCACCCCCACCAAATTAACTCCCTGTCTTCACTGCCAGTGGCGTTGGAGGCCATAGCTTAAATCTAACTCTGCAGAAGACTCCTAAGAGACTAAAGGATCTTCTTAAAAGGATATTATAAGAAACAAAATCATTACAGCTTACTGCAGTGGTCATGTTGCCTAAGGTGCCCAGGAGGATCATTCTCAAGGAGGGGTTTGTTAAAAATCAGGACCCATCCCAGGCGTGTAGGCATTCCCCTCCTCGGCCACATTTAAAATGCTGAATTAACTCCTGCTCTATGTCATTGTCATCAAATCTGGACAAGAATGGATGACTGAGATCGCTGAGCTAATTGTCCTCAGCAAACCGCCATCTTCCTGAATGGTTTGACATTAAACTGTGCTTGGCCATGCTAGGCAACATAACCACTTCAGTAAGATGTATTCACCGTTCAATGAACTGAAATGCAAAGTTTAGGTTAAAAGCGGCCAGCTGTGACTACAACTAAATTGAAGACTTTTAATGTTTCCAATTCATTCATTTTTGCCTAAATTTTGTTTTTTGTTTACTCCAAATTATTATTTTCTTATTTATATAGCGCCATCAGATCGGGTAGCACTGTACAATGTACAAATCAAAGTTTATTGAATAAAACCCTAGCACACATCATAGAAGACAGTGCATATGATCTCTGTTTCTTATGCATGATTTAATTTCATCTCTAAACTGGCTGCTAATGAATGAATATTGTCCAATAAACACATGCACAGGAATCACACAGGTCCCCTGCACCAAGTACAGGCTGCATAAGCTGAGCTAAAATAAATCCACATTTGTGCTATTTTAGTGCTGGGGATGTTTCCCAGAAGCCACCACGAACGACCGGCTGTATTGACACTACTGACCACAAGAGGGGGTCAGCGAGCGTAAACATTGAATAAAGAAAAAAAAAAAAAACACGAGCAGCTGTCATACACTATGAGTCGCTCTCTCTCGCGCTCTCTCTCTTGGCGGACTGACGCCAGGGGGCGCGCTAGAGGGAAAGCACGCGCTGCGATCTGTCTTTCCCGCCGCCGCCTGACTCGATGACGCTCTCGGGCGACCACTTCCTGTTTCCTGTGTGATCCTCGGCAGAGAGCGCGACGGTGCCGGTGGGGAGGAGAAGGTGAGGGGCAGGCGGAGGTTTGGTCGCAGTAACGGGCAGCCTGTATCCCGGGCACAGCAAGTAGAGCGCGGGGGGGTCTCTATTTACTAAAGGGCGATCTCTGTGCGGTGCCCCATTATCTCTGGGCTATATAGTGCCATATAGTGCTCTATCTGTGTGTTATTCACCCTGTGCCTCTCCCCCTACACCCAGCATGGGGGAATAGCAGTGCACCAGCCCTCTAAGTAATAACTCACAGAGAATATACCCCACCACGAGCAGCTATTGCACCCACACAGGGCTGTATATACACTGAGGGATGTGGCCAGCATGGCTAGCAGCTCTGCATTATTACAGATTATTATACATGGCACTGCTACAGGCTAATGGCCAGCATGGCTACCAGCTCTACATTATTATACGTGGCACTGCTGCAGGCTAATGGCTAGCAGCTCTCCATTATTACAGATTATTATACATGGCACTGCTACAGGCTAATGGCCAGCATGGCTGCCAGCTCTACATTATTATACATGGCACTGCTGCAGGCTAATGGCTAGCAGCTCTCCATTATTATACGTGGCACTGCTGCAGGCTAATGGCTACCAGCTCTGCATTATTGTACATGGCACTGCTACAGGCTAATGGCTAGCAGCTCTCCATTATTACAGATTATACATGGCACTGCTGCAGGCTAATGGCTACCAGCTCTACATTATTACAGATTATTATACATGGCACTGCTGCAGGCTAATGGCTAGCAGCTCTCCATTATTATACATGGCACTGCTGCAGGCTAATGGCTAGCAGCTCTCCATTATTATACATGGCACTGCTGCAGGCTAATGGCTAGCAGCTCTCCATTATTATACATGGCACTGCTGCAGGCTAATGGCTAGCAGCTCTCCATTATTATACATGGCACTGCTGCAGGCTAATGGCTAGCAGCTCTCTATTATTATACATGGTTCTGCTACAGGCTAATGGCTAGCAGCTCTCCATTATTATACATGGCACTGCTGCAGGCTAATGGCCAGCATGGCTAGCAGCTCTCCATTATTATACATGGCACTGCTGCAGGCTAATGGCTAGCAGCTCTCCATTATTACAGATTATTATACATGGCACTGCTGCAGGCTAATGGCCAGCATGGCTACCAGCTCTACATTATTACAGATTATTATACATGGCACTGCTGCAGGCTAATGGCTAGCAGCTCTTCATTATTATACATGGCACTGCTGCAGGCTAATGGCTAGCAGCTCTTCATTATTATACATGGCACTGCTACAGGCTAATGGCTAGCAGCTCTCCATTATTATGCATGGCACTGCTGCAGGCTAATGGGAAATGTAGTACCTTTTATGGAAACATATAGAATTCATACTATGCTGCAGGAAGGTGACTTAGTTCAGTGATAACAGGATAAATGCCAAATGAACTGCTTTGGTGAATTCATGGATTTCTCTGCTGCAGCATATGAATGCTATATATGCTTTTCTCACTTTTCATGGGTCACTCCATGTGGATGAAGGAGTTGGGTTCGTCCAACAAGACTGTGTACACCAATGAAACTTAGCCCCAAGTAAAAATGTGCCCTAATCAGAGTCCCCTGCCTTGGTGAATTCATGGGTTTCTCTGCTGCAGCATATAAAAGCTAAATATGCTTTTCTCACTTTTCATGGGTCACTCCATGTGGATGAAGGAGTAGGGTTAGTCCAATAAGACAGTGTGGACAAATGAAACTTAGCCCCAAGTAAAATGTGTCCTAAGCAGAGTCCCCTGTGTCTGTGCTCTTTTTTTTTTATATAGCACTGTCTGTACTTTGGCAGTTTTATCTGATATGCTTATATAGCATTTTGGGGTGTATCTCCTATTAGTTACATCTTGCCATTGATCGCAAATGTATGCATGCAGCATACGTGTATTTGCCACTAGATTAGATAAATAGTATATATTATTCACAGATTTTTTTAGTATACTAGCAAACCAAACTGTAAAACGTGAAATGTTGTCCTGCACTGTTTACGAACAGTAAACCGGTTACATATGTTTGTTTAATTGATTTAAAACTATCCTGGTCTACTCTTATAACTGTTGTATTTGTGGTGGATAAATCTAAAATCAAGATTGCTACAATTGATATATATATATACACACACACACACACCCAAAACTGGTGTGATCATTCATTATGTTGATGTGGTTAAAGTGCAGTAGATTAATGTGTAAAAATATCTAGTTTTATTTATATATATATATATATATATATATATATATATATATAGCGAGAGCGATTCCATATTGCATTGAATTTTTTTTTTGTTTTTTTGAAGGGAGGAGGTGGGTTTGTTTTAACCCCTTAAGGACCAAACTTCTGGAATAAAAGGGAATCATGACATGTCACAAATGTCATGTGTCCTTAAGGGGTTAAATATGCTGTTTACGTTGTACCTGTATTTTATTCTCCTATGCAAAACTGAACACTTACACACTGTACTTGCAGACAGTATATAATATATATTACGTATGTGAGTGAATGTTACTTTTCCTTTGCTGTCTAGGCAGACTTTCTCACTCCATATAAATGTTGTATGAATAAAATATGCAGTATGTATGGCCTGTAGCCACATGGTGCGATTATAGTCTAGTTCTCAGAGTGCTGTGTTTCATAGAGCTTTTCAAGACTCCTTCACTTGTAGTGTTTTGATGCACTTTATTCAATATCATACAGTGCTCTCTGCCTTTCTTGACAGAATTTACATTGATAATGTAAGTGTTCAAGGGTAACCATCACTTCCCTACAAGTTGCACCATTGAATAATACATTATGCCCTGTCTTCTATAATTATATTATAGATTTAGGAAATTACATAACCTTCCAAGTTCTTGGCAGGCACAGCTTGGGCACACAGAATGCATGTGCATAAGTTTTTGGATGAATGGCAAAATGAATTAACACTTTGATTTCTGTTCAATCTGTCCTAAAATGAGTAACAAATTGCCATATAAAAAAAAAAATATTTATAAAGTGCTCACAAATTCCGCAACACTGTACAATAGGTGGACTAAAAGACAAGTATTTACAACAAGACAAATTGGAACAGAGGTAGTTTATGGCCCTGCTCAAACGTGCTCACATTCTAGAGGGAGTGGGTTAAAGTAACACAAGAGGTAGGTTGTTAGAATAGTTTACAGTCAAGGGTTGTTGTTGTTTTTTTTTTTTTTTTTTTCTTTTTTTTTTGATGACCCAGTTGCAGGAGAGGAAGCTGGGTGGGTTACCAAGGGGAGAGACGGAAAAAGCTTAATATGCTCTTTTAATGATCTTTTATAGGAACAGAGACTAGGTGAGAGTCTAACTGAGCAGGTAAGGGCGCGCCAAAGAAAGGCGCAGCCCTAGAAAAGTCTTAAAGGTGGACGTCAGAGGTGCGATTACAAACTGGGTAGATACAGTTCTTCGGCGGTGCATAGGGGCCTCGATGGGACATACTTGTGTATTAGTGAGGTTAGGCAGTTAGGAGCTGCTTTTTGTAGGGATTTGTAAGCAAGCATGATCATTTTAAACTGCAGGGACTGACAGAGGGGGGGAGACCTGAGAGGTGGGGTGGGGACAGGAAGGTGATCAGCTTTGCTGATGCATTAATTATAGACTCTAATGGGGTAAGATGGGAATGTGTAAGACCTTTGTGAAGTGGATTGCAGTAGTCAAGGTGAGAGAATAGATAGGCATGGTCAAGCGCATAAGTCGAATCCGGTGTTAGATGTTTTTGAGTTGGAAGCAGCATGATTTGGCGAGTGACTGAACATGAGGGTTGAAGGAGATGTTAACCCCTTAAGGACACATGGCATGTGTGACATGTCATGATTCCCTTTTATTCCAGAGGTTTGGTCCTTAAGGTGTTAAAGGACCCCTATAGGCACCCAGACCACTTCAGCTTAATGAAGTGGTCTGGGTGCAGGTCCATCTAGTATTAACCCTGCCTGCTGTAAACATAGCAGTTTCAGAGAAACTGCTATGTTTACATATGGGTTAATCCAGCCTCTAGTGGCTGTCTCACAGTGAGAAGACGCCAGCGTCCATAGGAAAGCATTGAGAATGCTTTCCTATGGACTGGCTGAATGCACGCGTGGCTCAGCCGATGACGTCGGAAGGAGGGGGAGAGTCCGGCGCTGGAGAAAGGTAAGATTTTAACCCCTTTCTCCAACTTCACCCCGGCGGGTGGGGGCACACTCAGGGCACTATAGTGCCAGGAAAACAAGTTTGTTTTCCTGGCACTATAATGGTCCTTTAAGAGTGAAAGAGAACTTCTAAGCAGTGAGCCTGTGAGGTATTGACTTGGAGTGCGACAGACATAGGAGTAGCAGCACTTGAGGGAGGAAAGACGAGAAGTTCTGTTTCGGACAGGTTAAATTTAACGAATAGAGCATTAAACAAATTTTGTTCAGATCCATTTGTATAGTCATAACGTGTGGGTGACTTTACATTTTCTTTGCATTAGAAACATATACTTTGCAGTCAAATTATTTTGCAGTTTGAGGCAGCATTTCATTTATTTCTTTTTTTTTTTTTTTTTCTTGGGACATTTGCAGGCATTTTTATTGCTGTAAAATATAATCAGTAGCACACCTTATTCAATATTCAAAAGAGTAATCTTTAAGTGTGTCAAAAGTAAAAACATATGCAATCCAAAAAGGGCACATTACTCACTAAAACAATTTAGGAGAGTCCTTAAATGTTCTCATATAGTTTCAGAAACTCAAATTAATTGTATTGTAGACAAAGCATACAAAAACAAAATGTACATCAAAACACATAGATACACAGATACACAGGTAAATGGTCCAACAAAGTGTTGCCTTTCTAAGTGAGTTTCTAACTAGAGTTCCACCCAATATTTCGATCTGGTTTGGTCTTTCTCAAGACCTTGTCAGGCAAATATTTATACATCTGAAAAAACATAATTGTGTTGGCTCAGAAATAAGCTTCCATAGATCTACTTGTGAGCCCTGAGCAGTGTTCAGAGGTTGGTATCAAACCTGGAAAGAAACAAACAAATAGTGCTTACTCTAGACGTTAATGCTGTGACCATAGCACTTGGTGCCTTAGCAGTATTGTCCTAAGCATCTGATGCTTTTTTGAACTTATTGTTTTTCTGTTGTGTAGTAATTATTTTTAATAACTGTAACGTACCTAAAATAAAATCGCTCCTATTTCAATGCATTTGACATAAAAAATGTTTTTGTCTCATTTGCAAATGTTAACTTGTGCTACTCTTGTTAACTCATTGGTTTCTGCACCAATTGTAAAATAAACTAGAACACATTAAAAACATATTCAAAGATCATAGCAGCTAAAGATGCTGGTGATTCTATGTGCTAGTCAAGACAGACTGAAAAATAAGTAATGAAGTCAACACAAAGCTATGCGTTTTTAATTTTTTATTATTTATTCCTCAAGCGGTATTTTACCAATCTTTTCAGATGCCATATCTACTGCTAAAATGTATTAACAAAAACACTCGAACATGGTTAGTACACTATTATTTCAAAACTTTGCTATCTTTATTAAAGCTGCCTTAAAGAGCACTATAGGGTCAGGAACATACACTTGTACCCTGACCCTACAGGGTTAAAACCTCCCTAAATAGAGTAAAATCTTACTTGTATTCAGGTCTGGAGCTGCATGCTTTGTCCCTATTTCCTTTAGACCTGCCCCACTGCCTGCTGACATAATCAGAAGTGGTAGCCTGATCCAATCACAACGCTTCCCCACAGGATTGGCTGAGACTGACAAAGAGGTAGATTGGGGCAGAGCCAGCACAATTCAAACACAGCCCTGGCCAATCATCATCTCCTCATAGAGATATATTGAATCAAGGAATCTCTGAGGAAAGTTCAGTGTCTGCATGCAGAGGGTGGAGAGTCTGAATGTTTGGATGCATTTTAGGCAGCCATGACCCAGGAAGGATCTCCAACAGCCATCTAAGGAGTGGCCAGTGAAGTTATCACTAGGCTGTAATGTAAACACTGCATTTTCTCTGAAAAGACAGTGTTTACAGCAAAAAGCCTGAAGGTAATGATTCTACTCACCAGAACAAATTCAATAATCTGTAGTTGTTCTGGTGACTATAGTGTCCCTTTAAGGTTACATCCACAGATGTATGAGTACAACAACTTTTATGATGGTTTGCTATTGGAAAGGCTGGCATCATGGGAGTTCTATGGCTACTTTACAATAAGTGCTTTTATTTTTAGATTTTGTATACAGAAATGCTATCCTTTTTTTTTTTTTATTATTATTATACTACCCATTTCTTATGAGGGTATTCTCATCTTTTGCTGCAATATTTTAACACAAACGTAACTATGGGTTTAACACTTTTATTCCATATATTTTAGGATTTTATTACCATTGTCAATTTTTTTTATATTTTCTCTCTGTTATGGATTCTTATCTTCATTCTGTTAACTGTTATCATATGTTTGCATCCCTCTTTGGTATATTATAGTGGGAATTTGTTCATTCATTAATTTATCCACAGGTTGCTGAGGACAGAAGCATGGATAAACATAAAGTGAAAAGGCAACGTTTAGACAGGATTTGCGAAGGTGAGCTGCAACTTTTTTTTTTTTCTTTTCTATTTGTGAATTTTGTGTACTGTTAAAAGGACACTCCAAAACCTTGCTGGAGTGCTGTATGTGTGTAGTGTCCTCTTTTTTCCATTTTACATAAAGTGCAAATTTCAATAGAAATTGGCACTTATGAATTGACTGTTACACCCCCTGGCTGTCTAACAGACAACTGGCCCTGTTGCTTCATGGTTGTTTAGCTAAGTGGAGCTCTAAACTGCAGAGGCAGGCAATATCTCAGAGCACATGCCTTACAAAAAACTTGTAATTGAGCTGCATTGGGAAGTCTGTGATTGGACATAGACCATCTGGACTAGGTAAAAAGGGAAGGGTATGCAGACTTTAGACGAGATCTGCAGCTTTTGCAAGCTGTCAAGGTATACTCCCAATGAAAAAAAAATGTACAATTAAGGGGGGCGGAGCCTGCACACTGAACGAAACAGACGCCATTCTGGCCGGCTCCCAAAAAAAGATTTGAAATCCATTGAAAATCAATGTAACAATCGTCCATCCAGCCATCTCAAGGGGACATCTGGACCGAGCAACAAACCCTGTATCACCCGATACCATCCGATGCCATTTTTCTTGGCACCCAACCAGCTCAAACGGAGGCGAAAAATCGGGACCTACCCCACGCTGACTATACCAAACCTGGAAGCACTGCTGGCTAGACCCACAGAGAGGGGAACGGGCACGGAACCTGCACCCACGACATCCCTCCCTCTAACCCACAGGCCAGCTATGGGACGACGCTCCCAAAAGCCTACCATGACAGCAGAAACCAGCGACATTGGAGCCATGCTGCAAAGGCCTACACAGCCAAAGCCCGCTCCTGCGGAAGACCTGCGAAACGCCCGCATGCCCACTCGCCCGAACAACACACCTAGAGGAGTCTCCGGTCCTCCTGACAACACCAGCAACATCCTTGGATTCCCCCACGGTCTCGACCCCTACCACCAAACACAATCTAAAGATCTTACTGGCAGAGATCCAGAAAACGCTGGCAGTGGAACTTGCTCCCATCAGAACGGAGGTAACAGCCATCAAAGACCGGGTGAAAGCCTCAGAAGAGAGCATATCTGACCTACAGGGCCATCTGTCTACCCTACAAGACTCCGTACATCGGGTCTGGACTCAGTAAAGAACCCTGACAGCCCAGGTTACTGCCATAGAGGACAGGCAACACCGCACTCACATCAAGATAAGGGGAATACCCACGGCAATCTCAGGGGAGGAATTACCCCACTACATAAGACACTTACTGGCAACCATACTACCCCACGCTGTGGCCAAAAAGCTGTCCACAGAGTGGGTATATCGCCTGCCCAGCAACACCAAACTGCCACCCAACAGTGCTCGAGCCGTTTTTCTCAGATGCCTAACATTTCCTGACAAAACCCAAATCATGTCGGCCCGCAGGGGGAGAACACCTCTGACCTTTGAGGACGCATCTCTTACATTCTTCCAGGACCTAACAAAAGGCACACTCCTATGGCGAAAAACCTTTGTACGGTTACAAGGCACCTGCAAACAGCAGGAATGACCTACAGATGGGGGACAGGAAGATCCCTGACGGTGCAACACAACGGAGCCACACACACCATCTCATCAATGGAGGAAGCACCCACGTTTCTCCTGGCACTCAGACACCGGCCATTCCTCAGAGACATGGGACCCTGAACATGTAGTACCCTTTGTCCCAAGAGCCCGAAGCTCCCAGGCAGCCACAACATGACTGTGCAGACGGGGCCAGAGCCTCTCGGGTCGGATGTACACACTGCCAAAAGGAAGCACACATCTTGCACAGGCAATGAGCCTGAAAGTTATAGAGACGCTACAGTTATGCTTTGATACCTCAAGGTTTTCTTTTTGGTTATTTATGCACTGCTTTTTTCTTTTTGTTGCCGCTCATTTCAGGCTAATCTATGACGTAAAATGTTATATTATCACCTGGGATCACCAAACCCAACCTGTTATACCGCTCAAGGGCAGTTAGATTCACAGACCAAGCAGGGCAAGTACCTTTCACACCACATCCGTTCCCCCCGCCGCCCCCTTGGTTAGGGGTACTCCCCTCAATGCATAGCACCGAACTACTATCTGATCTCACGACTATGCACGCACAATACACGTGCTAAATCCTGTTGTGGCACAACACACACCTATATGCCAGGGCACACTCCACACACCTTGATTCTACCACTCAGTGCATATACGATATCTTAAGTACTAAGTAGGTAACAATTTTGCTTGTAACCAGACACATAGTAGACCCTGCTGATACTTAGCCTAGAATATACCTGTTATTTAAAAAAAAAAAAATGTGCAATGTTTCTCTCATGTAACGCATGTATACTAAACTTAACTAAATTGTTAATGTACAACGTTTGACTTAAGAAATAAACGGAAAATAAAGAATTTAAAAAAAAATGTACAATTAAATGCATGAATGTTTTCACTGGGGTATATCTACCAAGCAGTTTATTGAGCTATTTTAACCCTTTGAGCAGAGATGTCCAACCTAAGCAGTCCGGCTGTTAAACCTCACTATTCACTTGAAGCCAATATAACTAGCGGGCTAGGCTATATGTTATTTTTTTTTTTGTTGAAATATTGTAGATTAAAAAAATTATTTTTTATTTTTTTTTTTTACAGGAAGAAATAAATGGAAGCCCTAGTTTATATATAGCACATTTTTATTTATAAATAACCCTGTCACATATCTGATTGTTTATCAAGTAGCAATTCTGAGCACCGTTTGATATACACAACATTCATTTGTCACAATGTATCCCTTCTAAGTTGAACATAGTCTAAGTGTCATAATGTAGTCTACAGATTTCATCATATTCGTATTCAGTCTTTATATGTATGTATATGGATGTACTTTTTCATTTTTGCTTATTTTATTCTTGGTTTCTGTAGGTATTCGACCACCTATTTTGAACGGCCCAATGCCTCTTCGGCCTTTGGTAGCCCTTTTGGATGGCAGGGATTGTACAGTTGAGATGCCTATATTAAAAGATGTTGCAACAGTAGCATTCTGTGATGCACAGTCAACACAGGAAATTCATGAGAAGGTAAGACTTTTTTTGCTGGCATTTTTTATTTGATAAAAACTTATAAAGGAACAACCCAATCACCATAACCACTAACACCCCTGTACTATTTATGGAGCCAGGAATACCCTGGTGCCATCCTTAAGTCTACTCGTGGCTGCAGGTCCTGCTTCCAGTATGCTCCTGTTGGAGAATCCGCTAAGGTAATCTGAACTAAACAGGGCCATGATTGCTGTGGACACTTGGTTGAGAGTGTCTTAGTGCTCTCAGACAGTGAGTGTGGTCTTGGATCAGCTGTTTTTAGCGGCAGAGAGGAGTGCACAAGAGTGCAGCCACTTCCAAAGGACAGTGAAATGTGTAAACCAGAAAGCAATGCTTTCAATCTTTGAAAAGAAAGGTTGAAATGTTGCTCTATACATCTGTGCACATTAATAAAATCTCTCTGATGAATTAAGGATGTGCTGGAGTATTGCATTCTGCTTAGCTGCAGAAACATACCTGTTGTCTCCAGTGGGAGAACACTTGATGCTGCAGACTGTAGTGATTATAGTGCTTGGAGTGTTCATTTTGCAGAGTAATGATGGAGTCCCATGCTTTCTTAAATTGTATAATTGTATTGACTTCCGTGTCATGGCCAATGTTTACTGACCAAATGTAATCAGTGATTCAGTGCTGTGAAACTGAGGTAGTGGAACTGACTTTTTCAGGGAATTCACTGCTTTGATTGTCCAAAGCAATGGATTACTGACAAATTAAAAGAATGTATGGGTTTTTTGTTTTGTTTTTACCCATATAGCAATAGTGCTTCCTTCCGGGTATTCACCTTTTACAACTGGACAGGTAATGGACCAGGGCCTAGAAGTTTAACCCATAAGGACCAAACCTCTGGAATAAAAGGGAATCATGACATGTCACACATGTCATGTGTTCTTAAAGGGGTTAAACATTAGTCCATATCTGTAATTACTTCTAAATGTGATATTGTAGTACGCACGTGATTGTTACTTTCCTTATAATACCAGAAATAAAGTGCAGACCTGAGTGTTGGCCATATTAGGGGAGATTTTTAGCCCATGCATGATCTGGTGGATTTACACAATGCTTTTGTGCATGCACATATTTAAATGAATGCTAGTTACAATGATCACTGGGTGAAAATGTATAGTTCAAAAGGTTTGTCACACCTGACTTCCCTCCCACTGAGGCTTTTCAAGATAGGAAAGCAGAATTACTTATCTTTTTAAAGACTCTTTGTGAAAATTTTACTTTCTAAATGGTATTTCTATCTGTTATTACAAATCAAAGCTGTATCTAAGTCCACGCATCTGGTATGCTCAGCATGCCACACAAACACTTTTATGTGGCTTGCGGTGAGGTAGCTCAGTTGGTAAATTCCCTGACTACAAAGCTTGTTCAAAAGCGCAAGGTCACAGGTTCAAATCCCGGCAGGGTTATCCTTCCGAGGTTGATAAAATCAGTACCATCAATTAGGTAATAATATCTATTACTATTCAGCTGCCAATTTGGTTAATTCAGAGATCATGCACTGAAAAAGCGCATGGGAGAAAGACGCTATATAAATACTAGTTATTATGTTTCTATTACATGCCACATTAAAATAAATTATTTTACTTAGATGTACTAAGAAAGGGGAAAAAAAAGCATGACATTTATTTTTTTATTCGAGTTTGAAAATAAACAGGACCTTTCCATACGCAAAAAACAATATAATCCGCTCCTGTGCTAGAATTTTCCTTTAACTCTTTTGGATTTCAATGCCATCTCATTGCTGACAATACTCATATTTATAACTCCTCCCCAACCTATATCCTGCCCTCCCTGTATGTGTCATAAACTGCCTCTTTTCCACCTCTAACTGGATGTTCTAATTTTCTAAAACTAAATCCTTTTTTAAAAAACTCAACGCCTCATCTTTTTTTTTTTTTACCCCTCATACAGTCCACCTCCATTATCTCCCTTCATCTCCATTGGACACCTATTATCACAATTCCTAAAGTTTACTACCTTGGAATTACTTTTTACTCTAGTCTTACCTTTTCTCCTCTCATCCAGTCTGCCTCCAGATCCTGTAACCTCCACCTTGAGAAATATTTTTGCCCTTTTCTAAGGCACTTGTTCGTGAACTTATCATTTCCTGACTTCATTATTTCAACTCCGTTCTCATCAGCCTTCCAAATACCTGCGTTGCCCCCACTTCAGTTTGTAATGAATACTGCTGCCAGGCTCATCTTCCTGACTGTCAGCTACTTATACCTCACCCTGTTGCAATCATTACATTGGATTGTTGTAACCATCATGATCCAATTCAGGCTGCTAACATTAACCTATAAAGCCCTAAATGATTCCACTTCTCACTACTATTCTTCTTTACTCAACAAATACACCCGTTATCTTTCCCTTCACTCTGCCAGCAGCCTGTCATTTGCTCATTCCTGCTCTAACTTTTAACAAGATTTTTCAAGCAATGCCCTATTTCTATGATATATCCCTTCCATGTACTATCAGACTCTCCCCTAGCCTCCAGTACTTTTAAGAAGTCATTGAAAATACACCCCTTTAGGCAGGCTTACCTTGAAACAGGCATCTTATCCATCAATCTATCCTCTCCTCTTCTTTACCTCTTCCTCGTAGATTGTAAGTTTGTTTGAGCAGGGCCATTTAATATTTTCTATGTCGATTACTTTTTGTCAAATATCCACATTCTATAATTGTAAAGTACTGTGAATGTGATGGCGCTATATAAATGCTAAAATGATGATGTTTGACACAACATACACTTCCCAGAACTTGCATACACAGGGCAATATCATTGAGTGTGTTCTGGAGAGTAATGCCTGCTAGGACATTCCTTCCGTAGTGCCTTATGCGGGTTCAATTACTTTATATGGTATGTTCAGACATATCTACAATGTAAATGTAAACCTAACAGTTCCGAATTCTATGTATTTTTTTTTTTTTTGTCTTGCTCTAGGTGTTAAGTGAGGCTGTTGGAGCCCTTATGTATCACACAATCTCACTATCCCGTGAAGACCTGGAAAAATTCAAGGCACTTCGTATTATCATAAGGATTGGCAGTGGATATGATAACATTGACATAAAATCAGCAGCTGAAATGGGTAAGTGATTTGATATGTGTCTACGTAGAGCTGACAAAAAATGGCTCAAGCTCAGGAGTTACAAAAATTGCTATATTTATATTAAAGGCACATCCACACATGTTCAGCTCATTGGAGTGATGTGTAAGAGTGTTTTGGTGCTAACCCTCTGACTATCACCAGCTGCCTGCAAACCTTCCCTGAGGAAGCCAAGAGGGAGGAAGTGAGAAGGCAGCTGTGTCTCATGCCAGGGAACCATCCTCAGTGTTACACTGTTGCAAAACAGTTTTGCATGCCTGTTTGTCTCTTTTAAAAACATTTTTTTTCTTATTACTATATATTATAAAAACATGGGCCATTGCTGTAATATGGAACACTATGGGGGACTGACCAGATATCTCTGTGTTCAGCCTCACCATTGTGCTCTAGGCTTCCTATAACATCCTATACAAAATTTGCATCATTACAGTTCAGCTTTAAATGCAGAAAATTAACATTGCGTATATGTCAACCGCTAATTTCCCTAAAAGATTTCAAATATTTACACATATAAGTATAATAAATATTGGACTGACAATACCTTTTAAGACATTGTAGATGTATCTATAAATTGTGCTTACAGAAGCTTCATCCCAAGAAATATATTTCTATCCAAAAATTCTGCTCTGCTTTACTGCCATTATATATGTATAATGATGTCTCTAAGTGTTAGACATTGAGCATTGTCAATTTGACAAGAAACTTTCTTCTGGCTCTCTTTTATTTATGTTTATCTGCATTTTAATTGTCTACACCTGTATCTGTGAAATAGCACAAATGATCAGCTTTTTATGTGACTTTTTTTTGGTATAGTGAATACTTAAAATAAATACTTCCTCACTAGGGATTGCAGTGTGTAATGTTCCCTCATCATCGGTGGAGGAAACTGCTGATTCTACACTTTGCCACATCTTAAACCTGTATCGACGTGTCACATGGTTACATCAAGCCATGAGAGAGGGTAACAGAGCATCGAGTGTGGAACAGATACGAGAGATTGCTGGAGGGGCTGCAAGAATCAGAGGAGAGACTTTGGGCATCATTGGACTTGGTAAAAACTACTCTAAAGACACCATCTCTGCAGTGATGCATTCTTGATAACACCCAGAGTATGACCTTTCATGTGGTGTATCTCGTTTTCAGGTCGAGTAGGTCAAGCTGTAGCGCTCCGCGCAAAATCATTTGGGTTCACAGTGATCTTTTATGACCCTTACTTAGCGGATGGAGTGGAGCGCTCTCTAGGTTTGCAGAGAATGGCAACTCTTCAGGAGCTTCTAATGCACAGTGATTGCATTACTCTGCACTGCAGTCTTAATGAGCACAATCATCATCTCATCAATGACTTTACTATAAAACAGGTTAGTGCTAAAATTCCATTAAGTGCAGTTTTCTACACACAGGCACAGCTATAAACTATTACAAGTTTAGCTTATAGTCCTCGATTTGTTGAACCTTACTGAAAGGGACACTATAGTCACCTGAACAACTTTAGCTTAATGAAGCAGTTTTGGTGTATAGAACATGCCTCTGCAGCCTCACTGCTCAATCCTCTGCCATTTAGGAGTTAAATCCCTTTGTTTATGAACCCTAGTCACACCTCCCTGCATGTGACTTGCACAGCCTTCCATAAACACTTCCTGTAAAGAGAGCCCTATTTAGGCTTTCTTTATTGCAAGTTCTGTTTAATTAAGATTCTCTTATCCCCTGCTATGTTAATAGCTTGTTAGACCCTGCAAGAGCCTCCTGTATATGATTAAAGTTCAATTCAGAGATTCAGATACAATTATTTAAGGTAAATTACATCTGTTTGAAAGTGAAACCAGTTTTTTTTTCATGCAGGCTCTGTCAATCATAGCCAGGGGAGGTGTGGCTAGGGCGGCATAAACAGAAACAAAGTGATTTAACTCGTAAATGACAGTGAATTGAGCAGTGACATTGCAGGGGAAGCACTAAAACTGCTTTATTTAGCTAAAGTAATTTAGGTGACTATAGTGTTCCTTGAAGGAAGCATGAGCCTGTCAATTGTCAATTTACAGATCAATCATGGGTACACGGTTTACGAACAGCTTGTCGTAGAATTTAGCCATTATCCAACAGTGCCTTGTAATGAAGTGGTTAAGACGACTAGTTATTCATCATAAACTCATTGAGCTTCAAGAGGTAGCATGGGGCAAATAATCCATACCCGCTAGGCTTTAATTTATGCATTTGGTTTTATTCCAGATGCGCCAGGGTTGCTTCCTGGTGAACACTGCTCGTGGAGGTCTTGTTGATGAAAAAGCTCTGGCTCAGGCTTTAAAAGATGGCCGTATCCGCGGAGCTGCTTTAGACGTGCACGAATCTGAACCTTTTAGGTATACTCATTTACACAACTTGCCAAGCAAATCACCAGTGCATTGGTGCTTGTAAAAACACTTGCTATTCCTCGGTTTGCTAATTTATATTCTTCTCTCCACCTCCCTTTGTATTATGACAGTTTTTCTCAGGGACCCTTGAAAGATGTTCCCAATTTGCTCTGCACTCCTCACACTGCATGGTACAGTGAACATGCCTCAATTGAGGCAAGAGAAGAAGCAGCTAAAGAAATCCGTAGAGCAATTACAGGTAGATACTAAATAATTAAGGTGCTGTCCTGTAATTTTCATTATTTAAAAAACAAGAAGCTTTATTCAATTGACCATATTTGTAAACTCTGCAAAAAAATTCCATCTGACACTTAGAAATGTGATTGATATCCCCCTCAATAAAAACAGAAAAACAAAACCTACCTGTAGAGTAATGGTTACAGACTTAGGACTCCAGTTGTTGTGGAATTACATTAAACAAATGATTTTTGGCTAGCTGCAGACACACCTTTTCTTATAGCAGTGATTGCTGAGCATTCTTAGAATTTGTCATTCTATCACAGTTGGAGAGTTACCTTCTGATTCCCCTAGATATTCAGGGAATTCAATTAATGCAAAACTTTCTGGCCTACTTACAACCAGTGTATTATGTGTGTTCACAGGCCCTATTCCTGATGCTTTACGAAACTGCGTAAATAAGGAGTTATTGTTAGCGGCTGCACAGTGGACCGGAATGGAGCCAGCTACGGTCCATCCAGAACTGAATGGGGCACCGGGATATAGGTAAGAACGATCATGAAAACGCTTTTCTAGTGTTTAATTATTCACGTTTTTAAATCTATTTTCTTTAGATTACGTTACAAATATTTAGTAAAAACAAAGAGAACGTTACCTGCGCTCTGGCCTAAATCCCCATGTACATTTAAACAAAGGTTATTGTATGTGTAGAAGCCCTATGAAGGGTTAAATGTGAAAGGGTTTATAAAATACCCCTTCCTGTCTTACTGGAGATTCTTGGTGGATATCAGCATATCTAATGGCTAGTATAGGAACTCGCCTATTGAGGCTTGCCTTGACGTGGCAGGTGAGCTTATATATTCACATGGCCATTGGAATAAAACTAAAGAGCCTCCATTTTGTTTAAATGTACATGGGGATTTAGGCCAGAGCGCAGGTAACGTTCTTTGTTTTTACTATGTATTTTAAGCTGTTGGATACTAAGCTACTGCTGCTGTAAGCGCGGTGCTTTATCTTTGTGTACGTTACAAATATTGACACCTGCAAATACAAGTCTGATTACAAGGTGGCACCCACATAGAAAGGTGGGAAAGTCCCTTATCATTAAACTCCTTAATATGGCAAACCAAGTAGTTCCCCTATATTGGAAAATAATACACCCCTCACCCACTGATGAGAGAAAATGGAGCAACTAAGACCACAAGAATAAGACACTCTTAGCTCAGGGTTGAACTCAAAAATATGTAGACACGTGAATGCATTGGTTGACAGTGGCCTCTAAGGAAGACTTTCAAGGACTTCTGTTATGGACACCCAACTTGAGCTTCAGTGGGGGACATGTAGAGGGTCGCGTTGTCTTCGGAAGGGGTCACTGGTAGAACAAACATTATTTTAGAAAGTTTTGAGGACTTCCCATCTCATATTATTGTGTAGCACCAAGGAACCCGCTGTTTATCAATCTCCTATGATATAAACCTTTGATTTAGCCCATTATAGAGAAAGGGAGTTGGGCCACTCTCTTTCACATATTGTGAAAGAGAGATTAGTAGGAAACTAAAAGAGGTTGTACATGACATTGCTTAATGACCCTAGTACTGGAGACTGAACTTAAAGGGATACTGTAATGCCAGGAATACAAAGCTCTATTCCAAGCACTATTGCTCCCTCTTCCTACCACCGCCTGCGTAAATAAAGGGTTAAAATCCCTTTATTTACTTACTTTATCCCAGTACCATCTGGTTTGAGGTCTTGGAGGGAGGGGGAGCCACTTCTCTTAGATCAGGGGGGGCTAACGGAAGTAAAAAGGAATCATTAGCCAAGGGGGTGTTTCTTAGTTAATTTATAAAAGTGCTGATTTCTCTGAGAAATCAGCACTTTTATAAACTGGGGTTAAACTATGATACTCCCCACCCATAAAGCACTTCAGCAAGCTTCATAACAAGTGGGATGTAGTTGCCCATTTCTCACAGGACAGGTAGCATTGAAAATGGTTAAAAAACAAAATGCACCTATCTCTTACTTATCTCTCACCTCAGTTCTCTTACAACATAGCCCAACCCGAGGTCACTAACGGACGCACATCTACAGACCTGACCAGGGACAAACACCCTAAGCAGGACACTATGAAACACAAACAAGGTATACACAGTAGCAGACAACGGAATCCAACTGAGACCCAATAACCCCCAAATGTCACACAGAGGACACGACCCACTGGCACAAAGGGATACCACAAATGGAAACACAATAGGCACAGCTAAGGTTCCTACTCACCTAGATGGTGACACGGGGACACACATCCCCAAGACATAAGGCGATACCCTCATGACAAACGGATCCCAACCACGGAATGTCCCAAAAGGACTTTAAAAATGCACATTACCCAATAAGACAGGGTGGAGATACTCTCAGAAAACGTTGACCGTCACAATAGGCACATACTACCAACAAGGCCACACATACTTAATAGCACAGTAACCCATAACTTCATGAGACCTGCGCGTCTCATATGATGCGATACCAGATACCTAAAAAAAAAAAAAGTCATGGTGAGCACTTCATATGTGTCAAAATCGGCACACTGCCTACTGTCTAACAACCTATAAGTACTAACCTTGACATCTAACGTAAGAAGTCAATCAGAAGACTTAATTAATTTTGTTTAATGTTAACAAGTAAGCTAGATAATTGTATAACTGCCTAATAATGCTCACACTGTTAACTATGTCAATGATATTAGGACCTGCGTGTCTGACTTATTGTGTTTAAATTTTGCACTCAATAAACAGCTTTGAGAACTTAAAAAATAACTAAATGCAGTCCCCACCCCCAGTCTCCTCCCCTCTTAGCCTTATAAAGGGCAACTCCACTCTGAGCTTCCCAGTATATAACAAGCTAATAGAAGGATATAGGTTTACATTTTATGATCTGTAGCATAAAGGGAGGGAAATCATGACTGCCGCTTGGACTATGGAAAAAGAAATTTATGGTAAGTAAAATTTAGATTTCTCCAAACGTCCAAGCGGGATGATATAGCAAGATAAAAACACAGGGCGGGAACAATTTCACATAGAGAACCCAGCATACAGGAGCCTGTGGATTATGGCTCCTGAATCACAAAATACCATCCCCAGCTGATGGGACTGCCTATTAGACTAATTCTGGAACACCACCAGTATTAAACTGTAAGTTAGAACCTTATTCGTATCTGTGGGGTAAGAGCTCAAATCCAAATGTGACCTACAACACTTTTATTTGAATATGCATATAAATGGAAATAAACACTTATACAGACATAACCCAAGATTTGGAGGTATCTTATTCTCTTGCCAGTTTTCAGAATGGAGAAGGGCAATTGCTTGTTGTTCATATTTTCACTGGTGGCTTTAAGGTGTTTGGTTTAGTGTATTTTGGCACTTATACAGACAAACATATACCTATATATGAAAATATATATTTGCCATAGGGTGATTAATATAGCCAAATACATACCAAAACCAAACATAAAATAGGAAAGAAAATTATATAAATCCCTATCTGTGATTAACATGCAGGCTAATAAGACAAATAATTAACCACTTATTAAACCATTAGCGTGGCTAGCCTCACAACTAGCCATTGTAGATATACTTTCAACATAATGGAGAAAACGCCATGAATAAATGTAGGAAAATAAAAATTAAACCTACAAAGGGGCCCCCTAATGTCAATGGTAAAAACACAGATATAGGGAAAGATTAGACCTAGAAGTGGATTGTGAGTTTGTGGTTTCAAAATAGGATGAGGGGGAATAAACACATTTGGAGGCGTGTGGAAGAATTGTGCAGATCCCAATTTTAGAGTTAAGTGTTATAAAAACGTAACGTAGCAAGCTTATTACAGTCCTGATATCAAAATGGTCGCAGTACACCGAAAACCGTACACCATGCCTTAATCTTTGGAAATTGCTTTTGAAAAAGATGAAAGGCAAGCTGCAAGATATATCTGCGCATGGGTAATGTGATAGAACCAGAAACAAAAAGGGTTCCACAAAGCTAAAAATATACATATAGATGCATTCATAATAGTACATACATTTCATAAGCTAAAAAAATGCATATTTCCAAAACTCTCCACCTCTGGACAGGAAGTACGTTGGACTGCAGTGTGATATTTTGGGCTGCAAAGGCCTAGAGCCTAATAAGAGAAGCTAGTGGAAAACTGATGATGATAAAGTCAGTTTCATCTGATTGGAGCATCATTTTAGTGAGTGCAGCTCATTTTAGAATGGAAACAAAGAAATCCTAAATAAAACTGTCCACATATATGGTAGCCATTTGAGCTAATTTTAAAGCCTAGGCTTGGACTAGCTACTCCAGTGACACCTATAATAATTTTGCCCTAAGACTGGGTATTTTAATAAACTGGTGAGGTACAAATCAAACCATGAAAATACTGAAACCTGGTTTGATAAAATACCAATTAACCACTTAAAGGAGTACAAACTGGAAGTTAATTTTCTAGTTTTAGCCCAACTCACAGAAGTTGGCAGACACTTCCCAATTCGATTACCAATCTAAGAAACATGGCCATGCTGGAAGATAATGATATAAATTTGATGTGACCCAGGGAGAGTGAGTGGAGGTTATTAAAATAAACTAGGAAAACTAAATGCTCCCTGGACATAAAGTAAAAAAAAAAGCTTTGCATTTCTAATACCAACAAGTCTGGGTTTCATACTAGACAGGGAATCACATCCTAAAACTGTTATATGTATAGTCCTAAAATATAAACCTAGGTATGAGAAACAAAAAGAAACATTTAATTGCTTCATGCAACACCTATTATCCAAAGCACAGCTAAGATGGAACTTACAATTCCACAGAAGGGCTCACAAGCTGCTGCTTGCATGCTCAGAGGCTCACTTGGTAAAAGTCACTATAAATAAGAGTCTCTGACAGCCTAGTGCCCACGTACCAGAACACTTTCTTTTCACCTGACCTGAATCTGACATATCAGAAATGTGAACTAGGGATTCCATTAAATGTAGATGTAACTCAATTGTATTAGTAGATGACAATTTAACCCTTATAAAACCAGGCCAGCATAGAAAAAACAGTTCATCCATAAAAACCCTGGAATTCGATTAGAGATGTGCCTTCCATAAGTAGAATAAAACTAGATCCAAAATTTAGATGATTTACAGGAAGGTAAGCTCTCAGTCTAACAACTCTTGTCTTGATGCTGCATCTCCTATGTTATAGGCGTTATAATCTCAAGGCACAGATGGCAGGGGATTTGATACGAATCAGACACAACTGTGGATAACGATAGGTTAGAATAAAATTCCACCAGAAATTTATATTGGCAGCAAACAGAGTTACAACAACCATGATAATAGTAAACCTGTAGAGGAATTTACTTTGTCCAAGGAAATCCCAACCTTTTAGATTATTTGGGTAGGTCTCTCTTCACCTACCGTTCCTGAATGTCAAAGCAGGTTTTGTAGGATTGTTTGTGTTCGTTAACTTATTGTACGGCGTCACAGACTATGTTGGCACTATATACATACTTGTAATTGAATCGTTGGGAGGAATATCTCTGAGTGAAAATTTCACATACAACCAGTATGTAAATACCTTAGCAGGTGTCACCAGTGCTTTAACTGAAACAAGTGTACCAAATATCTTAGTGTGTTTAAAGGCGAGAAAGAAAAAAAAAAAAAACACACAGGTGGTCTGAACACTGCCCACAAACATGCAGTTAGGCTGTACATAAGTGGTCTGAACACTGCCCACAAACATGCAGTTAGGCTGTATATAGGAGGTCTAAACACTGCCCACAAACATGCAGTTAGGCTGTATATAGGAGGTCTGAACGCTGCCCACAAACATGCAGTTAGGCTGTACATAGGAGGTCTGAACGCTGCCCACAAACATGCAGTTAGGCTGTACATAGGAGGTCTGAACGCTGCCCACAAACATGCAGTCAGGCTGTACATAGGTGTGCCTGAGCTTTGCACACAAATAGGCGTTTAGGCTGTACATAGGTTGTCTGAATATTGCACACAAACGTGCAGTTAGGCTGGACATAGATGGGCCTGAACATTGCACACCAACAGGTAGTTAAGCAATTGCACCAAAAAAGCTAACTTTCACATGCATTTGCTGGTAGAGGCGATGAATCACAACCTGTGTGTAAATTCCTTTTCTGTTATTGGAGACACAGAGAAACCCGTGCGTGTATTCCACAATGAAGTTGGCTTTGACAGGCATTGGAGGAAGCCCAGCCTTTCTGCAACACCCAGACCAGCATGCGCGCAGGGTACAGCCTTATCCTTTGTAGATAAGCCAGCCTTGGAAATAGCCTTGAATTTTGGTACAAGCTTGCTGAAACATAAACCAATATGTAGTTACCTTAAACGTGCTATTGCCTTCTATATGGATAACGAGGCTATAAGAAATTGGTTGCCTAATTGCCTCTTTGTTGGACAAATAGGCAGAACGCACATAAGCTAATGTGGATTGCACCTGGCAGACACGTATCCAAATGAACTTATTTAGGAAAGCAAGAGAGGCTATTAAAATAAAAGCTACTGGTCTCACCTTAATAAGCCTCTGGTGAGAGCACACTGGTAATTAATCTGAAACACACCCGGTGGCCAGATAGTTACTCCTGGGCAGAGCTCTGCTACCTGACCTGTCTCTCTCGAGGACAGGCAAGTACTGGGGGGCCTCAGGGTGGAGTTGCCCTTTATAAGGCTTAGGGGGGTCGGGACTGAATTTTATTATTTTACTAGCAGAATAAATCTGAGCATGATATGTTTACTTTTGTAGTTATGGTAAGATGCAAAACACTGTGTGTTTGCAGTATCCTTCCCTTGCACCGCGTGTTACTATTTTGGATGACATTTTTACGTGTTTTTCTTTCTTTTATTTTTTTCCTTATGAAATACAGGCAAGTGGTACATAAGCATTGTTACTATAATTGGAGTGATCTGTTTCTATATGCGCCATGTTAAGTGTAATTCACATAAAGCAGAATCTCCATAAATGATTGATCTGCCTTTTGCCTGATTACTGTGTTACAGGTTTCCCTCTGCAGTTATGGGAGTAGCTGCCTCAGGACACCCATCTGCTGTTGAAGGGCTGGTGGCTTCCTCGCATTCCTTAATCCCTGCTGTCTCCCACACCCCATCACCTGGACAGACCAGCAAACCCGACCCAGACAGAGAAATTCCTACTGATCAGTAGCAACATGGTGTCACATTCTGCCTCCCTACCTTTATTTTTTTTAATTCAAACACCACTCCCATATTTGTGCTTTCCCTCCCCTTTGATTTTTGGTGTTGGGGGGGAGAGAAGTGGGAATCTCCAATTCTTCAGCAGCTTTACCCAAGTGAAGAATAAAACTAGGCTGCAAACCCTGAGGTGTATCATCTCTCCTCACACCGTAAAGGAGAATGTTCATATCAGTGTCTGGAAACCTTTAGATATTGCCTTTCAACAGATCTATTTTTTAACCAATTTTTAGTTTTAAGTGAAATACAATACGGGTGGGTTATCCTTCTGTGTGCTGGGGCAGGCTGATCTCTCTCTTCTGTTTCCGCTAGTGCAAGACATGCCCAGTTGTCTCAGGGAGCGGAGGCATCACCAAATTTTAGCAGTAGTCGATTTAGCAGTTGGTGTGTCTAGATTACAATTTCACTGTTCAAGGGCCATGGAATGTTTTGTTTAACAAACCTACAGCAGATTTACATGACCAAGACTAGGTTAATGCAAGAGGAAAATGTTTGATTCAACCTTTTTTTTTTTTTTTCCAAACAAAAATAAGTAAATAAAGAATATCACTGTGCTCAAAGAATGAACAAAATGAGAGGAAAGTACTATAGGGAATGACCATTCATTAATAAAACAACTAAACCACTCTTGCTGTTATTTGAAGAGGGCTAGATGATATCTGCAGTCTGTGATGCAGTGACTTGCTCAGATTAGGTTTGTTCCAGTCATGCTTTTTTTCTGATGTGTATTTGGGTTCATATGGGCTTCTGAATTGTTGTTGTATGTGAGACGTATATTCCTTTGTCATAGAATGGTTTAAGGCTGGTCTTGTAGGCATTGCAATGATTCTTCTGGCTTATTCTGATTTTTGGTGCAATGTAGTACTGGTTTTCAGTCTTCCACTACACTGACAAACCCCACATTAGAACTTCATACTACTGGCATAAATTAGTTTGGTTTAGTACAGGTCCATCAATGATGTTTGGGAGAGGGGTTTGTAACCAAAAGTGTAGTGTGCATCATTTCTACATCATTGGTTGTTAACTTTTTTTCATACTTCGTCTGGGACCCAAATTGTGTTTGTGACATGAGATTTTTGACCCGTTCATCACTTGGAAACTTTGATCAGAGACCCATTTTCAATTGTAAGAAAATGTAATATTAAAATACATTTGGCCAATAACTTTAATTAGATCTTTTTCTGTATCAAGGAGGTATCCATTGATCTGGTGGCAAGCAACGTGGCTACAGTAAGTTACTTATTGTTGGCAATTGTCTGGGGACTAACAAAGATGATGTCCCTACCCAAGGTTTAAGAACAGATTTACTAGATGGCTGGTTAATGTGCTTTTTTGTTAATTATCATGAACATTTCTTTTCATGAGAACTTGCTAAGAAATAACTCGTAGCTGAAACGGAGCACCATGGTTCTTATTTTAAATTTCATGTTCATAGATGCAAGGAAACCTCAAACACTTTTTCTAATGTAATTGTGGGGGGAAAATGATTCTTAAAGGTATGATTAGGTTATCAGCACTACACATCTTCATGTGTGGGTTTTGTTTTTTTGTGCCATTAGACGGCAGGATTGCAAGTTGACAGGGGAGGAAGATAGCACACCTGATGCCTTTTGTGTCATTAAGGGAACTTACAAACTGGAAAAGGATTAAGTGTACAATTGTATACATGGGTATCCAGTCCACGTTTGCAGCATGCCAATAAGAAATAACCAGGAGTCTGTACCTCTGTGATCATCTGGTATACGTCACTTGTGTTATTCCATTAAAAACTCCATTCAAAGTTTTTCTTCTTTTATATCCTATGTATGAGTGGTGTATGATGCATCAGGTGTGCGCTCTCCCTCTTCTGCCATAAAGCATCTTGTTGAATGAACAATAAAGTTATTCAAAGCAGTAAATTGTGGGTATGACTCTTTCCCTCTTTTACCACTGCAATTTGTAGTGCCCAGAACACTTACGGTACTTTGTCTTCCTGGCTTGATTAGTGTAAAGCACCAACCAGTTAAAAGTGAATAGCATGATGTAAGCCAGATACTTAACAGAACTGTTAGTGCCACACAGTACAGACTTGTTTTTTTTGTATTTTTGCAAGTGAAGGAATTCTGAATTTTTATTTTCGTTAAGTTTGCATTCCTAATCATTGAAATTCTCTTGTCAATTCTCCCAAGTTTCACAATTAAGTGTCTAAACTCCAAAGTGAGTAATAATAATAAAAAGTTATAAAACATACACCACAGTACTGTACAGTGATAAATCAATTTCCAACACATTGTGGCATGCAGATGACTATGGGACTTCTCAAACAACATTACTGTCTAATAAGTAGACAACTGAAAAACTTTGTAAATTTTTTTTTCTTTTTAAATGTAAGGGAGTAGTAGCACTTAGGGTTGTGTTTTACACATCTGTAGGTAATTGACTATCACTGTTTTATGTATACAATACCATTCAGTTACAGATTTTAATTTGTTATACATACATATATATATTAATTTGGTGTTTGTTCTAACAACATTTGTTAGAACTGAAGCACATTTTATTTCCATTTTATTAATCCAAGCATTAGCATCTATGGTAATTTATATTATACAAATCCTTTTTATGCTAGGGTACTGTTATATAGTTAAAAAGCAACAGAGAATTTCCTATTTGGCTTCTGTTAACATGATTATCTTCCTCTAGTTTTATATAGGGATTGTTTTCACCTCTCCATTTACTGATAAACTCTAGTGCCGTTTTTTTTTTTGTGTGTGTTTTGTGGTGCACATGAAATACGCTCTTTTTATATGTTTCACCATTGTATCGTAGCATTTTGTATTTTACCTACTACCCATTATCATTTATGAATGGCATTTTTGTGTTGGAGTCAGTTGGCCATTTGCAGATAATGTGAGACTATCGTATAAAGGTCTCTAGTATCAAATTGTTTCCATGATAGGTCTGCGGTGTAACACCTACCTATTTGCACCCTGGTATTTTTTTGCTTTTTAGAGCTACAACTGTCCAAGTGGACTTATTTATGTTTTGAAGTTTTTATTTATAAAGCACTCGAGCAATTGTCATGCACACTAAACTAATGATCCTTTATGATTAGACTTCAACACTATTAATTTGAGCATAGCAAGGGCATCTATTACTCACTGGCCCATCTTTGAGACCATGATTAAAAAGAACTGAGAGTTTAAACCAGGGGTGCCCAAAATGTAGATCCTCCGATGTTTTAAAACTACAGCTTCCATGATGATTTATTATGAAGGCATGCAATGCATCATTGGGGTTTGTTCTAAAACATCTGGGGATCTACCTTTTGAGCAACCCTGGTTTAAACGATAACTATAAGAACATTATTTAAAGGTAGCATTGAGGCAGTTCTTAAAAGTAATGAAACCTCAGCTTGTAATGTATAGGGCACATAGCGTCTTAGCTCAGTTCTTTCCCTTTTTAGTATTTTTCTATCGTTCCCTTTTAGAAGGTAACATAATATGGTATATTGTCTATAAATTATGCAGCTGCTTTGACATGCTTTCTTTTTGTTATGCTTTTCAGCATATTCATGTGGATTCAGTTTTGACTAGTCGAAGAGGTAATCCTTTATACAAAGATACATTCACGTCAGTTGTGACAGGATTACTTATTAGACCATAAACAAAATGCTAATTTAGGCTATAATAGCTGAATTCAAAGATTTCTCCAAATCACTTTTGTTTACAACTTTTGGCCTAAAATGGTAAATTCATTGGTAAATTCATTCTGATATTAATATATATATATTTTTTCTAATTATTAGAATTATTTTTCTCTCCCCAAAAGCCATTGTTTATAAGTAGTTTTACCTGTACCTGCTTCAGTCATATTGGCAATATCCTCTTCTGCAGATGGTAATAGCTTATATTTGCAGACAGAAGTTTTTACCCCTTAACTCTGTTATCTGTTTTATACATAAAACATTGTTTCGCAAACTATGAAATGTAGTACATCTGTTTCTTGTATATCAAATATCAAGGCGACTTGTGATTTTTGTCCAGATAAATGTTTTTGGTTTTTGTGAGTTTTTTTTTCATGTGTCTAGGAGAAAGTTGCGATTTAGTGATAATTCCTGAAGTTTAATTATGAAATTTATTTTGTCTTTTGAGAGATAAGTGTCCTTTTAGGAGAGACACCGTTTTGATTTACAGTCACTCCAGAGCTGAACAGGTTAGCACAGTTTGGTCGTGCGGATGTGATCACTACTAACTGGGATGGTCTGATGTCTAGGAAGCAAAACACCAAAGTCTTAATGATTTTACAGTGGACAGCAACCCAGCACACAGAATTAAATCTCCACGTCCTGTGAAATGACATGTATTTTATCCGCTCTCCTTTAAAAGGAGCCTTATTTTATACTGTTTAAATGAAATTTAAAAAAAAAATAAAAAAAGCTTCATAATCCAGCTCAATGCAAACTTTTCTGCGACTCAGTATGATATGCATATAGCAGGTTTAATTTTTTTCTTCTATTTTATTCTTCTCAAGAACCATTTCTGCAGGTTACTGGGGTTCAAAAACGGTATTTTGCAAATGAACTTGCAAATCAATGTGTAGTGGGAGTAGAGGGGAGACCACTTGTGAGCTAAAATAGTCTGTAACGACTGTCGTTACATTAAATATCTGGCGGGTATCTTTACTTGTTTCTGGGGGGGGGGGAATCCTGTTTTTATATTAAAGTTTCCTGTTTATATGGGATTCCGTTACCTAACAAATATCTGCATTATTATCCTTTCTCCACCTCCTCCATATTGCATTGAATGCCCAAAAGGGTTCCTTATTCTTGATGCAGGGACTCGTAATGGTTGGGGTCCTGTCTGGTGTGTATTACTGTCATTGGTGGTGTCCCCCAATCTGCATGGAGAGGATATTAGAGCATATATTTCCCTGTACATTGGCCCCAAATCTGCAATGGGTGATCTTGTATTAACCCTGCATGGATTGAGCTGAGATGTGACCCTGTGTCCTAAAGGTGCAGTGTTGTGTGGTCAATCTAGTGTTGGTTTGTTACAGGTTATATGCACAGCTGACCAGCTTTTTATAAATTACTCGGAGTGTCAGAAATATATTTTTGTAGACAATGAACATTATGCCTTTCTCAGCTGGATAGCTAAAACTGTGAAACATTGAAAAGCTGTCTCTTAACAAGTGTTCTGTTTTTCTTTTTTGTTGTGTTTATTTTTAATTTTTTTTTTGTCTGACTGCAAATACTTTAATTTTTTTTCACTTGTAGTACTTAGAAAATGATTTGTTAGAAGATAGTTTTCTGTCTCCTAATCATTTCTCTATAATATTTTAATAAAGTTGTACAACCAATATATTGCTGTTTATATTTATCGTGTGTGTGTGTTTTAGCTGGAAAGTGTGGAATCAAGGTATGTCATCTGAATTTTTTTTTCTTACATTGGTAAAACCCATACAATATGCTCAATAGGTTAATATACTTTCAAACTATTCATAAAGTTAAACTGTTATATATATTATTTATTTTTTGTAATGGTGGTTTGTGGAAAGTAGGGGTACCTTCAGTCATATTTTAATAGTTTGAAGGTTTGGAAGCGTAGCTTCAAGGCCCCTGGGTGTGAGAGCCAGCTCTCATAACCAGGCATACTGGGACATCATGTGCGCATACACTGTGCCATCATTGTCCGTTTTAGAGAATCATTGTATTCAATGATTCTCTGTGGCAGAATCATAAGGGGTGAGTAGCGTCCTTGTGCCTATGGTCCCCAATGCACCTCTGTGAAGAACATAGAATTGGAGATATGCTTCCAGGAAGACATCATGCAAGGAGGATCTCGCGGCAGCATTAAGACTCTCAGCACGGGGGGGTTGTACATCTCTTTATGTAACGCTATAGTGTTTCTTTAATATTGAGTTGCTTGATGTATTTTTTATTTGTGTTTGAAATCATCAATTCTGTCTGGAGATTATGAAGTACTATAGATTGGAAGAGCATAGGTTCAGGTAACCTTCAAAGATCAAATCATCCGAGAGTCTCTCGGTGAGACCAAATATCTCCATAAATCAAAGTTCTGTCTTCTGAGTTTCAGATAGTGACAGTGCCATGAAACCTCGAATAGCAACCTGATCGCTATTGCTGAAATTATTGTAACGGATTGTGTAAATTATTTATTAAAATATAAGTTACCTCATCAGTCTGATCAATACCCTCAGGGCCAGGTTAAACAAATAGTTTTTGATGCTCCTTACATCCCATGATTTTGACGATGGTAAGAATCAAATACGTCCCAGTAGTTTCTATTCTAAAATTAAGTATGGATCTGCTTACAGCAAGCATGGCAAACTCGCAGCATACGGCATATCTTTGCAGCCCATAAGCTGCGAGTTTGACATGTATTTTTTTTTTTTTTTTTTTGTGGCCCACATAAACTTAAACCTTGTTTATTTGGCCCATCACTAGAGGTGCTTCCTGTGTCAGTGCTGCACAGTGTCACTAGAGGTGCTTCCTGTGTCATAGCTGCACAGTGTCACTAGAGGTGCTTCCTGTGTCAGTGCTGCACAGTGTCACTAGAGGTGCTTTCTGTGTCAGTGCTGCACAGTGTGCAGCACCTACATTCAGGGCCTCCACGCTCTGGAGGCGCTTAATGTTCCCCATAGAGATACATTGATTCAATGCATCTCTATGAGGAGATGGTGATTGGTGTAGTGTTTTGCAGCCAATCCTATGGCAAATCACTGAATTGGCTGAGATCATCAAGCTTGATGAACTTAGCCATAGAGGCAGGGCCAGTCGAGGGGAGACCAGCACGGCGTGGGGGGAAGGTGAGTAAAAACACCATCACAGACACATACCTTGACACACACTGACAGACTGATACACATTATTGCTACCTGTGGGTGACCGGCCAGGGGGTCGTCCAGGGCTGACAGCTGGGTGTGCTTTCGGCCAAAGGGGGGGGGGAGGGTCTGTCTCTGCTCTGCTACCCAGCGCGCTCCTTAATGAGACCGGGGCCGGAATATGATGTCATATTCCGGCCCCAGTCTCATTAAGTAGGGTGTGGTGGAGCAGAGACAGCACAGCTCCCCTGTGGCCGCCAGCACACCCAGCTGTCTAGATGGCCCACCAATAAATTATCCGGTAGGCCAGTCCGGCCCTGGCCGAGAGACATCGGTGCTGGAATGAGGTAAGTCACAGAAGGAGTTTTTCTCCCCTTCTGTACTTGAGGGGGTTTGAGAGAGTGGGGCATTACCAGGAGCTCTTTTTGTGGCTCTATAGTTTTCCCTTTAAAGCAGGTGTTCATTTGACTTTTCAATAAAGTGGACTTGGCTAGTACGTAGAACTGAGGAAACCACCGCTAGAATGTACATACATATTTTCCAACAACATTTTAACAAATTCAGTTTCATTAGATCACTGTAATCAGGGTGACCAGCTTTTTAAAATAAAACAGGACACCCAACGATAATAAAATCGCTCAAAACAAAATCGAGAAATACATGCACACTAGAAGTATTTAACCTATACCTGGTCAGAAGAGTCTGTTACAGCTCATCCCCTCCCTGGTGTCTTTTCATTTACATTTTGTAGGCGCATGATCAGAGCACACACATACACTAAACCAGGACCATCGTAACAGCATAAAAGGCCACCGGGCAAACCAATACACTTGAGCCCTGCCTACGCGAACTACTCACAGGAATAAAAATATAAATTATCAATAAAATTAAGCTTATATTTATTGGTACCTCCAACAAATACAATACTCACACACACACAGACTTGAATACACATACTGTGGGGTGGGGGGGTTTAGTGTGGGGGTTACTGTTACTGTGTGTAAGGTGGTGGTGTGGGAGGGATAAGGGAGCCAATTTATATATATATATATATATATATATATATATATAAAAAAAAGTTTTATATTAGCCCCCTTTCCCTTTGGCTGGGGGACAATGACTCTTCAGTCCCTGGTGGTCCAGTGGCAGCGCATGCAGTTCAGCCTCCTCTGGCTGCAGGCTGAATTCCTTCTACAAGTACAGCAGGCCGTTCAGAGCGTTGCTGTGGTTCTCGAGTTCTCCCTCTGCTGCGAAAAACTACCTTTGGGTCGCTGAGGGAGATATCGAGAAGGCAGATAACACTGTCTGCAAAACCGTGACATTTATACGTTACGGGAAACTTTCTCAGGAATTTTTTTTTTTTAGTTCTGTATGGCATTTTAACTGTGAATGTTATAATACTGTTATCTTTTACTGCAATAAAATACACATTTGTATTAAGCAATATCTCATGAGTACAACAGTACCTCCCATATACAGGTTTTATGGTGTTTTGGAAAGGTACAGGGTCAGATTTATAGCCACTTGGTCACAAACCCTGGCCAAAGTAAGCGTTCATATTTGTGTGTGTGAAAAAAGTAAGAAACAAATATGAACGCTATCTTTGGCCAGTGTTTGTGACTAAGTGGCTACTAAGAAAGACTGGACATACCCCATTTGCAATACCTTAGGTTGTCTACTTTTGCAAATGGTATGCCATCATGGGGGCATGATGCAACATAAGCAATCTGGCAAATTTCAATGTGAAAAAATTGAAATGCAAGCATTATATTTGACCCTGTAACTTTTGAAAGCACCATTTAACCTGTACATGGGGGATGCTGTTATACTCGGGAGACTTCGGTGATCACAAATATTACTATTTCAAAACAGTAAAATGTATCACAACAATGATATGTGAACGTGCTGTTTGATATTGATGATATCGTTGTAATACGTTTTACTGTTTTGAAACACTAATATTTATGTTTAGCAAAGTCTTTTGAGTATAACAGTCTCCCCCACTCTCTCCCCCCCATGTACAGGTTTTATGGGGTCTTGGAAAATTACAGGGTTAAATATCGGGCTTGCAAATTAAATTCTCTGGACTTTGTCTTATTGTCCGGTAGGACCCACAAATAGTAATCAATAAAATTGCTTATTTATGTAAAAACATTACAGATATATAAACAAAGAATTTAAATATGTGTGTGTGTATCTGTTTATCTGTTTACATTATTTTTATATATATATATTTTTTAATTTTTAACCCCTTAAGACTGCAGCCAAATGTAAAAGTTGTGATCCAAAACAATTAAACAAACCACAGAATTTTACTATATGTCTGTTCAACAATAATTTACCTCTTTCATACTAAGTGCACCCACACTTATTATATATCATTTTGTTCAGGGGAAACAGAGATTTAATTTCATATCAAACATTCATATATGGAACTCCATTTTATATGAATAAAATCTAAAAAACTTAAAAAAATTAAGAAATCTTGTTATTTTTCAATTTCAGCATGGCAATTTAACTGTTAATGTCAGAATACGGTTCGGTTTTCCTGCACTAAAACATACATATTTGTATTCAGAAATGTCTCACTAGTAAAACCGTATCCCACATGTATAGGTTTTATGGGGTTTTGGAAAGTTACAGGGTCAAATATACGGCTTGTCCATTATTTTATTTTTTACATAGAAATTTTACAGATTGGTTTGCGTGGCCTAGGTTGCCTTTGCGACAGTATGGCAGCCCAGAAATGAAAATTACCCCCATCATGGCATACCATTTGAAAAATTAGACATCCCAGGGTATTCAAAATGGGGTATGCCCAGTCTTTTGTAGTAGCCACTTGGACACAAACCCTAGCCAAATTTAGCGTTCATTTTTCTTGTTTGCATTTTTCATATATATACTGAACTTTCACTGATAATATTATTGTTAGTATATAATTTACTGCCCGGAAACACTCCTAGTTCTGTTCAGTGATGTCTCACAAACACCATGGTACCCCCATGTATAGGTTTTATGAGGTTTTGGATAGTTACAGGGTCATAGATACGGCTTATCCATTTATGCTTTTTCACATTGAAATTTGTCAGATTAGTTTGCAGTGTCCAGGCTGCCTTTGAGACCGTATGGCAGCCAAGAAATGAAAATTACACGTTAATGGCATACCATTTGAAAAAGTAGACATCCCAGGGTATTCAAAATGGGGTATGCCCAGTCTTTTGTAGTAGCCACTTGGGCACAAACCCTAGCCAAAGTTAGCGTTTGTTTTTTTTGTTTTGCATTTTTCACATAAAATCTGTACTTTCACTGATAATATTATTGTTAGTATATAGTTTACTGCCCTGAAACACTCCTAGTTCTGTTCAGTGATATCTCACGAGCGCCATGGTACCCCCCATGTATAGGTTTTATGGGGTTTTGGAAAGTTACAGGGTCATATATACGGCTTAACCATTTATGCTTTATTACATTGAAATTTGGCAAAGTGATTTTCTGGGCCTATATCGCATTTG